GCAATGGAGTTGTCTTGAAAATAAATCTAATGCATTATGAATCATTCTATTTTTGGAAATAATAGTGACATAATCACAAAGAATAAGAGTTATGAGCGTTATATCTTTCACTGAAAAAAACCCGTAAATATAGCTTTGTAAATGATTCTTGTCTGACCATAGCCTTTGGTTAATCCAGTGAATACAACAAACTCTTCTGTATTGATTTCTTATTCTCCTCCATTGTGTAAACAGGCATAAAATAATGTATGCTTGCAATTGTTCATAGTGGTCTCTAATTGTACTTTTGTTTGTTTGCTTGAGGAATTGGTAAAGCTTAAGAACCAAATTCATTGCTGAAGTAAATGAACTATGCCATCTAAAGTTGCACTAGTGATAAAATTGGTGTTAAATATTTAATGTGGTATACTCTTGGAATATTTCTGTTGATACAGAGACAGATATAGAAAAAAAGGCAACAATTCAGTGAGGCATGCATGACTTCAGAAGAGTTATTATTTAATGAAAAAAAAAAAATCTGCTTGGGATGAAACAGATCTTATATTATCTGCCTGCTCCTCCTAGATCTTTAAAATATTGTGTGCAGCTGTACTGAGAAATCGTTTAAAGGTGAAACAAAAAAGAAAATTGTATTATTTTACTTATTTCTTCACTATTAATGTTTACTATTCTTATCCTGTTATTTCACTTTTTTATGTTTTAAATATTGAAATGGTCCATCTCTTCTAATCTCTTTCAGGCAACTAGTTTGCAAGATCAGAAACATGCATAACATATCACTAAAGTAGATTCAAGATCTGCCACCTCAAGATTGTTTGTTAAAATTGTCTCATTCTGTTTATCATTTTTTGTTTCTCTGTTCTTCCTCATACATTGATAAGATCTTGTCAGAGAAGTCATGGAAACTCCAAAACGCAAGAAAACAATTCCTTATGAAGACTTTTGGAGGATCATCTTTGAGAAACTGTGTCACAAAATTAAATACTTATTTTTACTCTGTTTTTTACACTAATAGGCTTGGCAAAAGAAAGAATAGAGTTTCATAGTCACTGTTCTTTTAAGTTAAATTTAAGTTCTGAAATTCTGAAAGGTTTTGGCCAGTATGATTCTTCATTACTCACTTTCCCGTTCAGTTTTGCTATTGATCCCTGGTTGATCACCAAGGCTACCAAAATTAGAGCAGCAAACAGCTGACGTTAAAATAGTCGTAATGACTATAAGCTAGTTTTTAGAGCAAATTTCACAGTATAGTTAAGAGATTCCAGACATATGGCTGACATTGAAAGCACCATGCAAAACAGAAAACATTTCTAATGTTGTGTCTACTTGCTAATTGCAGTCAGGCTTCCAAATTGTCTATCCAGAGATGCCTTATTCTTTTGTCTTTTTTCACTCATAATAATTGAATTTCAAGTATGAGAAAGGTTCTGTATTACGCATTTTCCCTAATATAGCCCTTTCCCTTTCTGTGTGTCCTTCAGCCATCTTTCAACCCTGTAAAGTGTTTCTATTAAATAATGAGTGGTATCATTCACATTTTCCAATTAAAAAGTCTGAAGACAAGCACCATAGTCAGAGTGTCTTTTAAAAATCTCAATCAGATTACTAATAGTAGCTGGGTAAGAAGTTGTTTATTCATTTTGATGGTAACCTCTAGGCAATAGATGAAACCAACGTATGCTGAAATGATGCTAGCTTATTGCAATATGATACCAATGGGAAATTTCTAAATTACTTGATGTGCTGGAACTGGGGTAGAATTCCATAAAATATTTTATTCCATAATTCTGTATTCCAAATACAGTGCATACTATTCTTTTTAAAATTCAAAAACAATGGTTCAAAGATTAGCCTAGTAAAAATCTTGCAAACCCACAGCTTTTGTACATTAATGTGAGAGAGTGTGTTTTTGATTCGAAAAAGAAAGGACTGGAAAAATACATTGAAAATTTGCCCACTGATGTAAAATCCAATCACTGTGACGCACATAATTTTCATTATTGTGACACTGTTTTGTTTTTTTCATTTGGCTAACACTGAAAACTGAAATGGTGCTTCCAAATTCATTTGAAAACATTTCTCTGCTGAGCAGCTGATAATGTAATTTGGATAAGTAGTAAAGAAGCAGCACGTGATTAAAGAAAAATAACAGAATGAAACCCAGCAGTGGAAAATTCCTTACAATAAATGTTTTTGAAGGTAAGAGGAATTTAAAGTGACAGGGAAGAATGCACAGAAACCAAGTAATAGATGGCATGTTATATGCTATTGAATATGGAATGGTGACATAATACTATATTATGTAGCATTTGAAGAGTAATCTGCTGCTAATATTTAAAACATTTCTGACAAAAGCCAAATCTTTGAAAGAAATGCGCCTAATCCAGAGGGATTAAAATTTAGGAAGCTGAGATCAGATGTTGAATCAAACAAAACAGGAATTTAATTGATAAGATAGTATTCAAAGAGAATATAAACAGAGAGAAAAGGGTACAGATAAAAAGGAGGTGAGAGGACAAAGAATAGTAAGGAATAGATGCTATTTTTAAAAAGACTTGAGGGTAAGTAATGTGTTGTAACTGTAAGGACTGAACTCCCCATCTGCTATTCAACTATTCCTGTTTGGATGCATCTTCACTGCCTTTGTGATCTCTATCCATATGTATGTATGTATGTATATATATATATACACACAGAATATATATATTCTGTAATCCAGCATTGTAAGTGGGAATGCCATTACCCCTGCTTTACCCCAGGAATTTCTTCTGTGCAGAAGGATTCTGTTTTTACTAGCTTTGTGTCTGGTCTTAGAGCAGAGTAAGATAATCTGAATATCAATTTGATCTGGCACATCTCTTGCATGAACTAACACAGCACATGGTAAAGCAACCGATGTCCCTTTTATTTGACTACATAAGTATAGGAAAACAGCTGATTAATTAGTCCCTTCTTACCATGATCACCAAGCAGCATTTCAGGTGAGTAAGTGGGGGCAGCTGATTGTGCTCGCATCATTAAGGGAAGAAACAGTCATCTTTTGGAGGAGAGCAGAGAGCTTGAAAGGCATTAACAATGTTTTGTTCAGCCTGCGTGGTTTGACAAGGTGGGAAGCAAACTGGCGGCCTCATTCTCCCAGGAAGATAGAATAAGATAGGCAGCAAAACAGCCAGAGGATTGCTCAGCATTTCAGAGAGCAGGATGGAGGAGCAGGGTAATTAATTTTAATACAGGGTCATGGCTGGAAATCTTGGTTGTGCATTACCACTCTTGTGGGTTTGCCCTCTGGCTGGGGGCATGTGCTTTCACTTTTTATCTGTCTTCACACCAGTAAAATGTGACCAATGATACTTGTTCCTTTTGTAGGCATTTTCCAATGTTTAGTTCATTAATGCTTTTGAAGTATGCAAAAGCCCTGGAAACATCACATATTTCTAATCCCGCTGTTCATATATTAGAAAGTCTGTTGTGTACAGTCATTACATTCACTGTACAGATGGTTAGTTTAGACTGTAGTTAATTTCATAAATGCAGCGGTGTGAACATTTCCAAGCAATACATAGAGTAGAAGCTTTAAGCCAGATCTGTAGATTACTTGGAAATGAGCCTTGAGAGACTTGAAGTGCCTTCGTATGGGAATGGAAAGGCAGACAGGCTGGCAGGTGGATAATTGCAGGCACAAAGGGAAAACATCAAGGGAGACTTGCATGCTATGTATCCTAGTACTAAATAATGTAGTTTTTGTTTAGTAACGGCAAACGTCCACTCTTAAATCCACTGGTTTGTGTCTGAAAGTGCAGGCGTGTTGATGAATGGGAGAAAAATGAGGAGAATGTGACAGCAACCTGGTGTCTTCTTGCACATTAGCGTTCAGTGCATTGACGCTATGGAGGAATGAGTTGGGCCAAGTCAAGGTGAAGTGCATCACTCTGAATATTTTTGTACTGCCTGTGACTTGAGGAATGCCAGATGGAGGTACAGGGCCACGGGGCAGAAAGCGAGTGCCAATGCATGCTCCTGTGGACACTTGTTACAACGCAGGCTCCAAGACTGGTCTGTTTTCGTTTGTTTCTCCTTCATCCCACCATCTGCTTTTCTCTTACACTCCTGAAGCTCTGACTGACCTTAGAGGGGCTGGAGGAAGGCAGTGCCAATGACGGGCTGTTGAACCTGTGTCCCTGGCGACAACTCTGCCTGTGGGTTGGAACCACCCCTGAGACAGGCAAATGGCCATGGGTTGTATCTTACTGTCATGGCAAGCCACATGAACAGGATGCATTTCTTTTGAGGGAGAGGCTTCTAGTTTTAATTACAATAAACTTTCTTTGTCTACTATACCAGACTTAGTGCACTGAATGCTGTATCCCAGGCTGTTCTCAGTCGTGCTATCTGCAATTCTTCAGACACTTTCAGCTGCAAGTTTTTCAGAGTGTTTGATTACAGGTTCTTAACTGCTGCTCATCTCCTGCTGATACTACACAAAACCTGCCAAAAGCCTTCTTTTGTAGATGGAGTTGAATCTGGATTACTTTCCAGACATTCTGTCAAGAAATTATACAGCACAGAAAGCAGCTTTTGTTTCCATGGCCATTCCAATACAGGCTTTTCTCTCCTTTTATCTGCATATGGTTTGTTTCTCTGAAAAAAACTGGAATAATTCAAATGTAATTTCAAATGAGTATGCTTAAAAGATGAGAATAGTTGCTTTATTTTACACACAGATCTCTGTGGTTCAGTGTGGCTAGGTGTTTCCTTTTGCTGTTGCTTAACATGAAGAATAGTTTGAAAAAAAAATAAACAGGCTTATTTTTTCATAAAATTTGGCATTTATTTCATAATTGTTTCTTTATAAATAAAGGTATTGATCCTGTAGATTTGTTATTCAAGTCATATGCTTGAGCTAATTTAAATGATAATGTTAATGTGAGTGGGATAATATCTCAACCTCATGCTGCTCACTAATCTGCAGCAACCAACGTTTTTATCTCTTCTCTCTCCAGCACTGCAGTGATAACACTCACCATTGCCAATCAGATATGAATATCGTAGGTGCTTGGAAGAGAGGTTACACTGGAAAGAATGTTGTGGTGACCATCTTGGATGACGGCATTGAAAGAAACCATCCAGACTTGATGCAAAATTATGTGAGTGTCTGCAGTTTGATTTGCTGCTTTATTGTTAACTTGAAGTAAATTTGGTTAAATTACTAGAAAGGTGGAGGGAGGAAGGGAGGGCGAAAGGGAGGGAAGGAGGAAAGAAGGAAAACATCTCATAAGAAGGTTTCCTCTTGATATGATAACACCATTAGGAGGAAAAAAGATGAATTTTGGTAATTTGTATTCCTTTAGTTTGAAAGTTGAGTCTGAACATCTTTAGTATCTGAATGCACCTTGTAACTTAGTGCTACATTTCTGAAGGATTGGAGTTAATAATCAGATGTTTTTTTCTCTTCTATAATAATTTTATCAAATATCTTAATACACTCAGAACTTAGGATCAGAATAACTGCTTTCCCCAGTTCACATGAGCAGCTGAAGTCCATTCTTGACCAATTCATTTAGCTAGGAAGACAGTAGCTCTTTCAAAGGCTGTAATGTTAGGCGAATCCTTCTATGTATTTATTTTCAAAGCTATTTATCTTACTGCTAGAAATAATATTAAAGGAAGAGGATATGACTCAATTAAAAACAGGTGTAGAATATTTTGGAGTCTTTATAGTAAATCCCTCTAAATCTCAGTGAGCCTTCTCCCAGTTTGCTATAGGAGAAGATCTGTGTGCTTTTATTTTTATTCTTTTTTTTTTTCTTTTTTTTTAAACTATGTCAGATATTTCGTGTCACATCAGAAGATTTATGTTTGGTTATGGTTCATCATATTTAATGATTGTTTTAATATATTTCGGAAGGGTTGCATCATGCTAGGAGAAGCTGGTTCTTCAGTGTGGACTTCTTTTGTTACCTTCAGAGTTTAAAGCTGCTCGATGTGTCAGGGCCATGCTTTGCTGGAATGGTTTTTCCTGAGCTTCAGAAAGAGGCATTTACCTGAAAGCACTTGACCTTAGCAACCTTATTATTTCTCTCAAAAGAAGTGCATGAACAGTACATTCACACAAAATAAGAAAATGTAGTTGGGTTAAGTACAATTGTTGAAGATGACTGTTGCAAAGCAAATAGGGTGGTAAGGCACTGGCACAGGCTGTGCAGAGAAGCCATGGATGTCCCATTCCTGGAGATGTTCAAGGTCAGGTTGGATGGGGCCGTGATCAGGTGGCAGACCTGCCTATGGCAGGGGGTTGGAACAAGATGATCATTAAGGTTTCTTCCAACCCGAGCCTTTTTTTCCCAAGTTGCATACCATCTTGAAAAACATTGACAAGATAAACATGTCAATTACATCTTTAACAACCAATCTGCAACCATGTCCATAGTTTAAATCCATTTATTTTAAATTAGCAGTACTTACATGTGTATCCTTCCTTACATTGGATGTGGAGCTCAGATCTGAAATACTTGGGTAGGACTGCATAAACAAAAATGAGAGCCCTTTGCCCTATTTGTCAGTATGTAGTTGATCCTAATACATGTCACATCTTTCCCTTTAATCTCTAAAGTTGTTTAAACAAACCAAGCATAACTTTATCCCTTCACTGAATGACCTAGATTGTATCATGTGTCATTTCATCCTAGTACTGTCCTTCCACTGAATTTAAAGCATCTATTTATTCCCTCCTCTCTCCTTTTCCTCTTGCCAAGAAGGAATTCCCCTAAAGCAGTACACATTGCTTGTTTGATGACAGATGCCTTCTATATGTCAGGTTATAGCTGGTGTGACTGCAAACAGGAATATTTGAGGTGGATGTGGTAACTGGTTTTGAAAAAAGAAGAGATTAGAAAGAACTGCTTACCATGTCAACACACTGCATGCTTCCACAGAGATTAATGGGAGCCATACAAACCAGCAGCTATGTACTCTATGAACTATTTTCAGCTGGAATAATCTTGGTAAAATTTGGAGCAAAAGTGTGCAGATATTGTAGCTATAATTGAAACAGTTACAGTCCCAGACAAATGGGAATGCAATCTAAGTCACATATTAAGCTGTACTTTCTATAACAATATCCTTAAGAAACTTACGTTGTTCCCTGAAACTATGACTGAAAGTTCGGTCATTACCTTGCAAAGAATTTTTACTGAATTGTGAAATGTTTAGCAAAATCTGAACTTTGAGAATGAACTCTCTTAAGTTCCAAAAGATTCTTAGAAGGAGTATAGTCTTTTTGCTTAATGAAATGACACTTTCTTCTCTACAAACAGAACTACATGTTTTCAGAGCATTCATATTCTTCCCTTTTCCAAAAATAAAGTCAGTAAATGGTGTAATTATTAAATATATAATCCTTTCCTTTAAAAAAAAAAAAAAAGTGATCGTCATAGAACCACAGGAATGTTAGTTAACCTAATTACTCTCTTGTAGAAACCTGCTGAAGAATTTATAGGCCACATGACTCAATGGCTAATTAATGAGAAAATGGTTTTCTTTCTCCTGTTGGCTACAGGATTCGCAGGCCAGTTTTGATGTCAATGGAAATGATTTTGACCCTATGCCTCGATACGATGCCAGCAACGAGAACAAGTAAGGCACTATGACACTTAGACATTTTCAGTTCTGTTCATCAAAGAAAGAATACCAGTTTTGCTCCAGAAGCCAAGGAAACTTGAACCCTAATAAAGCAGCGTGATTTGCATTTAAATATTTGTGAAATATGTATTTATTTCTCTTCCTTTCACACTGCATGACACTTGCTCTTTGAATGCATTTGGAGCAATCCAAAAACACATTAAAAATAGTTTGAGAATTCTGTGTGTGTGAAATGAACAATTTTCAATCCTTTTGGGATACAAAATATAAGCAGTGACTCTTAGCATTCTTATATTCCATCTCTCTGAGTTATTGGCAGGTTGTTGTGTGCGATAACTGTCTTGGCTTCTGACTTCCTTAGACTTCAGAGACTTTCTGTTTTGAAAGAATATGTAAGTTAGTAAGATTTTACTTTCTAATATAATCAGTCTTTTAACCTCATGGAGATTTTACGTGTAAAAGTTTGCTAGAAACTATATATAGCACTAATAGCAATTCTGGCTAGCTGTAATATCAGTGTTATATGATTGGCCTAATATATCTGCATGAGCGATGCATTTCTCCTTCAGAACTTAGCTTCCTGGTATTTGTCATTCTAACTCTGCTCTTCAGATTTTGAAGGCTAGGAGGGAAGTTGGCAGGGACACCTCACGCTCAGGTGGCAGGCTTCCTTTCTGACCCAACGGGTATTTGAGGGCAGTTTTTTTTTAACTGTGTATCTGGCATAAAAAAAATAGCTTTATGTGGAATCACATGTATTAGAGAAATCCTAGTAGCTGTCAAAATGCTGTCTGAGCATATTGTTTTCTGAAATTTAGGTGTTTCTTAGTTCTGGAAAGCAGTTAATGCTACTTGCTTGCAAAAAACTGAATGCAAAAGGTGAAACTTTGTCTTTTACACAAATACTTTTGAATTTGTGGGTGGTTTTTTTCACTGTTTTTTTTTTTTTCTTTTTTTTTTTTTTTCCTTTTTTTCCCCTTGCAATTCCATAAACTTTCTCCAGAAGAATGTAGCAGGTATTAGGTAACTCACTGAGAGTCAACAGAACATTTAGCATTAATATGACTGCAGGAACCAATTAGAGCAATCTTGGATCACACTTGGGTGGGAGAATGCCCATCTTCTCAATATAGAAGGGAAAATACATAAATATGGTGAAGAACAGAACCCTAATGTTTGTAGCTACCTGTTACATACAGACGGACTAATCTTAGAGCAAATCTCAAGGACCTACTGTAGGTACTTTCTTAAGATGAAATAACCACAAAAAATTCATGTTATTCCTGATGAATATTTGTTTGCTCAGTCAGCATGATCCTTACCAGTTGGCTGAGATGTGAAATACATAAGAATTTAGCTCTTAAAAAAAAAGAAAAAAAAAAAAGCATGGAAATAAATATTCATATGTGCATGACTAGAAATCCTGTTTAGCATAAAAAGTATTATGATGGTGTTAATTTGAATCATAATAAGAGTTTATTTGTTGGTGGCTTCAATCAGCATATGTTCTCACTCAGTTATTTGATTCTGTTTATTGCCAATTTTTTTTTATTTAGGAACAAGTACATACAAGAATTGTTTCTTCCCCTTTTGCCCATTAGGCATGTCTTTCTCATCCTATTTTCACATAGAATCTCAGATTACTGAATCATATCTATCTCTTTTTCACTAGACATCTCCTGGAGCAAGAGTACCACGAGAGTATAAATAGATAAATTCAGTAACACCCTTTGCTTTCAAATATGTAAACATGCTGCACGTGCTGACTAGTTTAAGTTTATACAAGGAAGAAAATGTTGATGTGGAACAAATGGTAGAAAGACCCAGTGGCTGTATTGACTCACTTAGTGGCAAGCCAAGAATTTCAGAACCAGATGCTTGTAATGAAAATGCTAATACTACACTGAAGTTTTTAGGAGATATCCTCAAGACAAACGTTCATTGAAAAAGAGGAATGAAAAAAAAAAAGAATATCAATTTCTAATCTTTCCAAGTTCTTTTGGTTTATGTGTTTGTTGTTTTTTTTTTTCCCCACAGCTGAAGAATTTCATGTGCTGTTATTATTTTAGCTTAGGAGGTGACTTGCCATGAGTGCCAAAAGGCTAGAATCAGCGAATGTGCTATAAATTTTTGGTGGATAATAAAAGAAATCTTTGTTTTGGCATATGATAAATCTTAGAACTGCAGTCTAGATTTCTGAAAGCATTAGTCACTTTCAAATGGAATAGTAACATACCACCATAAATTGTTTTTAGCCTGGAGCCTGTAGGCATTGCCAGTCAGCATGCTACAACAACTAATTTGTATGGCTAACTACTTCAGATGCGCTTTGAACTAGATGCTTACATTTTATACCCATACTGAGCTTGGAAGAGTGAAAATGGTGACCTCCACTTCTTATCCCATGTTTTTCATTACTCCTCCCTTTCTCAAGCCATTGTGCAATTTACCAGAGTAAAGAATTAATAAGGCTGTGAACCGTGCTACCAGAACATCAACAACTAATTTCATTTTCAGCCAGTTTCTTTATTCAGCTCATCCCGAGGTCAGAGGAGAGCTAGACAGACGTGAGTGGGGAGAATGAAGGATGACCTGCACCTCTCACTGGTATGACCAGTTTCACTGAGATAAGGTGACAGCGCCCCAAGCACCCATAACTACTGTCTACAAAACTGAGAGTAATGTTGTCAGCAATAATTTCCAAGGAGTTTTGAGGAAAGATGTGACAGTCAGCCTATCTCACAGCTGAGCTGCCAGTTTGCATCATATCCTCTGTCCTGCTGCCCTCATTCCCTGAAAACACACTTTGGGGATTCACCCTGTACATGATGATGCTTCTGTCCTTAGAGCTGGGACACAGTGATGGCATGCTCAGAGGCCTCCCAGTGCCTTTCAAGTCTTTTCAATGCTGTGAGTGCTCTGCTTAGGTGCTCAGTATTTCCGATTAGCAGATACACTTAGCCTGGAAAACAGTACCTAAGTACCTTCAATTCCTTCCCTAATTCTCTTTGGACTCAACAAGAATTACATATTGACATAGGCACTGATATCTAGAGCTCTATCAGAGCCCATCTAGGACTCCGTATTTTTAGATATCTAAATTCAGGATGGGAATTCTGATTATCCCAATGCATGTGGTCATTTGGCACACCTCAAGTTCTGCCTGGAAGGTGAGCTAACCACGACCAGGGAGCATTCTGAAAACCATATTTTGCAAAGATTTAGCAATGTGCATGATCAGTTCAGTTGATTAGCACATCCTGCTATAGAAACTGGATAATATTACATAATGGCCAATTGTGTCATCCAGTAAATATGGGAATGTAAAAATATACTAATTTCATGAAATGATCTAGTGTACTCTATTTCATGTTGTAACAACACTTTAAAGGATGGAATGATAAGGATTAGAAAAGAAATACTGTAAGAAAAAAACCGGTGTCTCTGGACTGCTTTGGATGCATCTGTAAAATATCAAGGTCTGTTTGTTAGCTTTTCATTTTTAATTAGTGGTGAACACTTTCTGTTGCTTATTAATGGTGGAGAAAGTATAAGAAAAAAACTGAGGCCTTGTGAAGAGGCTGTTGATAAACACAGTAGTGCTTTCCAGAATGATTTTCTTCAAGATTTAAATTAAATCTTTCTATTAGCTAAAGAGAATAGGAGACTAGAAAAAAACATTAGATTAGTCTCTCAAGACTTGTAGTCAAAATCAGGGTGGGTTGATAGTTTCTTTAACTACTATGGTATGTAGGAGTCCTGCCAGAGGTTTACTTTGGTTTCTACAAATTGGCAGCAAATCACAAAGCTTGTAAATAGTACAGGCCTATACTAGAACTTCCTTTTGCTCAGAGGCTAGAGACAGCAGTCAGCTGTGGATGAAGTTGTTACTGCTATGCAAAGCATCTTGTTTTGATATACTGCTAAGCACTGCTGCTTAATTCTTTTTCTGTTATTCTACAGATACCTGTAAATAATTGTGCATTGCTAATCACAGGTCCGTGATCAGAAAGCAGATGGACTCACTTAAATGTATTCTGCTCATTATATAGCTACATAAATTAAATACCTATTTATCTATATGTATGTATATATATATGTATATATGTATATATATATGGGTATGTATGTATGTATGCATTAATGTGCTTTGTTATTTTGGCCAAACTAGAATGTGTTTTCCATGAGAAATTTCTCATGATGGTAATTCAGAGCTTAAATCTGATTCTACAGGCAGATTTTTTTTTAAAACAGAACCTTTAAAAAAACTCTTTTAAATAATACCACTTGATTTTGATGCTGTTTTTATTAAGCTTGGGTAGGAAAAATTAAAAGTAAGCCATCATTCCTGTTTTGTATATACCAGCTGACTGTTTTGAATGCCTCTTCAACATTTTTCAGTAATGCATCCCTTTACATAAAGAAGTTGTTTAAAAAACCTTCTCAGTTATCTTTTAATGATACAACTGGGAGACAATAAGTTTTGCTTTTCAAAAGCCATAAAAATTGCACCTACTCCTTGATTTCTTCACTTTCAAAGTTTGCAGAACCTGGACAGCCTTACATCTTACCATACAACAACAAAAATTTAATGAGTTAATAAGTTTCAGTCCTGCTTGATTCAGCATCTTGGCATTATTTTTCAGTGGCAGACGAATACATCCATTCTAATTCGTTGTTACTTTTCTTTTGCCAGTCACATCAATGGATGTAGTTGCACAATAAAACGCTACAGGCTTAATGTGGCATGCTGCTAGTTTGTACCAGCTACTTACTTCAGAGTCCTCTAGTATGTCCTAAGCCATTTAATCAGAATGGACATCAAATATTTGACAGAGAGATCACCTTCTGTTGTCTCCTTGATGGTCAATAAGCTAGAAGTAAAAAGCTTTATGGACTGCTGTGACACTATTCAGGACAGGTGTCTGAGAAACTGAGCACAGTCAAACACGGAGCATGAAGTCTGTCACTGCTGCCTAGAATGATCATTTTAA